GCAGCACCTCACTACAGTAATGTAAGCCTGCCCAGTCCAGTCCCCGCACCCCACGCCCTTAAGCCTCATCTCTGGCCAGTCCTCTTCGTCCTAAATCCCAGCCTCTCATGCGGGTCCCAGGTGACCCTTTCACTCTCGTGCCCCAATCTCTCTTGCACGCATAACCTAGAATGCTCTTCCCTCCCCATCTGGTTGGAGAACTTTCTTCACCCTTGAAGGCCTGGCTGCTCTGAACTTTGTAGAACTCCCAGGCCCTGATGGGAGCACTTCTGGGCGGCAATCCCTTCTTGGTACTGCTCTTGCTCCTTACTAGGCTCTCCTAGCCCCAAGGTGCTGTGGCAGCATTCATTGACAAGCATGACGGTCTCTGCTGGGGTTCTACCATGGTGCCCGCCCCTGTGTGGGCAAGGAAGAACACAGCAACAAGCAAAAGCTTCACGTAATCTGCAGGCCTGTGGGGAAGAGACAGTAAGTAACTACCATAATTGTGATGATTTTGCTGGAAGTACCTAGCAGCGTTGGAGCCTAAATGAGGGGACCCCAGGTTGCTCTAAGGGAGCCTGGTGGCACCGTGGCGGCGTAGTGGGCTGCTAACCAGCAGGTCAGTAGTTTGACTCCACCCGTTGCTCTGTGCGAGAGAGATGAGGCCTTACGCTCTCATGAAGTTGTACAGCCTCAGACACCCGCAGGGACTGTTCCACTCTGCCCTACAGGGGTCGCTCTGAGGCAGAATGGACTCCATAGAGCGGTGAGTCTGGTTTTTTATTTACTCTGGTCTAGTGACCAAAGAATGCCTCCCCCCCAAAAAAAACGGGACTGACGGGAATTTTTGGTGCCCCTAAACTGTAGCGTGCACATTGAAAGTTTCTCAACGACTGTTCTTCAGTGATGCATCACCCAAGTGCCGATGGTCCTCACATGTCCAGCCCAAATGCGTACATCCAAAGCCAAACATCTCCCCCATGACGTCTCCGTGAAAAGTCACTTGGACAAACCACAAACAACAGTTGGACAAACAACAGACTGGGAGTAAGGGAGGATTCCTCCCTCTCACTCCTCACCCCTTCTTAGCCCCAACCACACTCCGAGCCTGGCAATTGTTTCTCAGACTCTGACGAGCTTACTCTCCAATCCATCCCACCACTGGCCTACGTCGATCCCCATCATTTCTAATTGTGGCCCACTTTCCAAGAGGGGCCTTTCTAACAGTACAAATCGGATTCTACCAGCTCCCTGCTCAAATCTCCAAACATCTCAACTCCGTGGCACGGCATCCGAGGCGCCCCAACTGCTCTCCACCCCAACCTGGGCCAGCAGCAGCACGGAGGGGCGTGGTTCCTCCAACAGGCCACGCCCCTCACACAGCAGCCTGCACGCAGACTGTGTCCTCTGCTGGGGGTCCTGCGCCAAGGCCTTTTTGAAGAACCAGGTGTGCTGAGACCCAAAGACAGTTGAGGGCACCTGGTACATCTTAGTAACCAAAGAAGCCCATGTGTTCGTGAATGGGGGAAGCTTTCTAGTCCCTGTAAGATTTATGGCTCCGGCTCCTTTGGTGCGGACCTGGTGCCTCCTTTGTGAAGCGGCAGCGGAGGAGACCGGCGCTCGCCATGGCCGACAAGAAACCAAGGAAAGGAGTCAAGACTGAGAACAACGAACCGTTAAATTGACGGTGGCGGGGCAGGATGGTTCTGTCTTGCAGTTTAAGATTAAGAGGCCTACGCCACTTAGCAAACTAATGAAAGCCTATTGTGAACGACAGGGTTTGTCAATGAGGCAGATCAGATCCCGATTTGACGGAC